ACTTTAATATGATAATTTGTTCATTATAATATTCAATGAATGACTATAAGAATTAATAATGCATATAGGTTCTCTTTTTGTCTACCTACGTATTTGTTAATTAACATTCACCGTCTTAATTTATAATGTTATCAGATTACTTCTCCAACTGTATTTTAATATGCTGAAATTGATAACAACAGCAGTTTTTGTACTTCTGAATTTGAGAAACTAATTATGAGTTTTGAAGCCTGATGATTTTATTCCTTCTTTTTGTCTGGAATGAAGTTCCTATCCAGATCTGCAAAAAATGGTTCCTATTTCAAAAATTTACCAAAATCAAGTGCTATAAAGCTTATCGATATTGGCAGTACTACATTTGAAAGCCAGGGTCATAGCTATGTGGTGTCTACACGTCATTATCGTGCTCCGGAGGTTATTTTGGGTAATTAGTGGTTCTTGTATTTTTTTGGTTGCATTTTTAATTATTTTCAGGTGGCTCAACGAGTTATTGCTGATGCTGTTTTCTGTAGGTCTTGGATGGAACTATCTTTGTGATATGTGGAGTATTGGTTCCATGCTTGTTGAATTGTGCTCTGTAAGTAGGAAAGCAACATATAGTTTTCACTACCTTTTAAAATTGAACATTATTTGTTTTAGTTTATATTTTGACATTGTTATGTTAATGTATATGTGCAATTGTGGCTCGTCCATCTACTTAGGCATCTTATGCAGTTGATTGTATTACTAAGAAGGAGCTATTTGCATGTTGGGTTACCTGTCATATCTAGATATTCTTTGTTTTAGTTTATGTTTTGGCATTGTTATGTTAATGTATATGTGCAATTGTGGCTCGTCCATCTACTTAGGCATCTTACGCAGTTGATTGTATTACTAAGAAGGAGCAATTTGCATGTTGGGTTACCTGTCATATCTAGATATTCTTACTAGCATTCTTTAAATTGATGAATACTGTGCCTATTACCATCTAAGATGGCTTTCTAAGGAAGCATGCTAGTGCCCTAGTCAACATTTCCCCCTAGTCAACATTTCCAACTTAGATTGTTCTGTCAGAATGTATTTTTAATCAGTTTTTGAAAAGCTATTTTCTGTGATCGCTAATTTTCCCCTTTTACTCTAGTGCCTCCTCTTAGTTTTTCTTCTCCATCCTCTTTCTTTTAAGTCGTTCTTTTTATATTTCTGGCGGCAGTAGTTTGTGGTTTGGTTGATCTATTTTGGGAGTTGCTTGGGGTTATGTTGGTTATTACATTCTTACTTCTTCTTGTTTGGCAAGAGACTGTATGGGGAGCGAGGAAAACTAAATAGGTGCATTTAGCTGTTGATGGTTCTATTAGTTGGAGCTTACTTTAGAATATGGTACATACATTATTTCTTTCTGATCATCAAATGTTCTTCTGTGATGTTTGGGCTAGATGTCAGATTTACTTAATAATGCCGAAGCATCTGTCTTGCCTCCACTGCTCCGCATGTTTTACTTTTGGGTAGTTTGACATCTTAGAACCTTGTTGTTATTACACCATGACCCATCGAGTCAGGTTTGTAAAGTTGAGGACAGATCTAAAATTTTGGATTTGATCCCTTAGTCAGCAGCTGAAAGCAGGACTTGATGAACAGCCACTTAGGAGGGGACTTTTAGGGAAATTGTTTAAATTGCTTCAGTAGAAGTATTGCAATCGTTTTATTGGCCGAGTGGCTCAAAAATAAAATAAAAAATTCTTCTATAGAGAACTCCGACAAATTTTTAAAACATGATAGTGGCATTCTCGGGTTGCTTAGCTTCTTGTGCCCATGTTAGAGTTGGTAAGGCGCGTGTCACTAATGAGATTCTGTGGTACATACAGATATATTAGAAAGAGAGAATTAACCTTTATAGTGCAAATATTTTACAATATCAATTTTTTTGTTTCTTAGTGAAGAAGCCGGAAAAACTCTCGAATTCTAAAGAATGAATGTGGTTTAAATAGTGTCAAACCCTCTTTTACCAGTATCATTAATTTGGCACTAAGCTTCTAAGGGTGTCACCGATATGATCTCTCCACTGTATTCCAGAACCTGATCGTGAAGCATGTAGACCACTCAGCTGGATATCTGATTAATCTTTTGCAAGGGCTTTGATAGGTTCCAACCTGTAGCAGAAAGAAGGAACAGAAGTAAATGCAGGAAAAAGCTTTTTATATATTGATGGAATGGAAATTACAACTCAAAAAACAGAAACGACCGAGGCCATTCGAGAGGGCCTTACTCTCCTAATATGACGTTACAATCTTTTTTCATGCCCCAAGACTCCCAGCATCTATTCTATTTATAACTCCCCTGTTTAACTAACTCTAGCCATGTCACTCTTGCTCGACAGAATTTGTTACCCCCTCCACAACCTTCTTGATCCTTCTAGAATGGGTATATTTGATTGGGGCTCTATTAGGTTTCTACGGTATGACCCTGCTGAGCGATTCAAAGCAAGAGAAGCTCTATGACACCCCTTCTTCTCAAGGGATCTGAGAAGGCGTTTCTATCCATTCTGATTGGAACATCTCATCTGTGCTTTCTATTGGGAGAACAAGGAAAGGAAAATCCACACTTATTACATTAAACAAAAAAGGGGAAACGATAACAGAAGGTGACAGAAAACAGTACATTCTGAAGATTGGCTGCAGTTAGTGCCAACCTCTGATGCACTTGATCTGCTGGGCTTAAGCTGTAAGTATGTGGTTTTCTCATTTATTTGATTTAAGTCTCTCATTTCTTCTATCGTTATATGATTAATTGTATGCAAATGTGTCCATTTGGAAATTCAGTGTTACTATTCACTTCTTCTGTGAGTCATGACTTGAAATGAAGATTCAAACTAATATAATCTCTGATTAAAGGTTAATAGCTAGACTTTTCATTCTTCACCGGTTAAAATCAGTGTTCGTCAATCAACTCATTGCGGAGTTTCATTTTAGTCAGACAAACTTTATTTTGTTTCAAAGTGGTCAGTGAAGTTTACTTTTGTTTTATTTTGGTCATTTTTAGTTAAACTCCATTATGCTTTCGAGCTAAATGTTCTAATGTGGAAGCCAGAAATTTGAAGTCACACCTACAAGTGCGTCCTTCACATCATCCATTCTGTTAAAATAAATAAATAAATAAATAAATAAATAAAAACTAATGGATGCAAACTGAGTAACTTAACATTGACAAAAAGTAAACTTTTGTGGTAGTTTAAAATAAAATAAAGTCCATTGACGAACTGATAGAGATCAAGAAAAATATAGAGTTATAGTTTAGATAGGATTTAAAATAAGATTTTTATTTAAATTAAATTAGAGTATTAGAAATTATTTTGATTTTTGTTTATATTCAATTGAACGTAAAATATTCAAGCAAGTATACCAACTTTTCTTTAATGAATGTGTTCCTGAACTCTAATTCAATTGTGTTCCAAGCTGCTACAGCCCCATACCAAAACTAGAGGACAGATTTACTATTTCTTTTTCCCCCTATCTTGGTGATATGATTGCTGCTGCTGTCATTTAGTTTGAGAAAGCTGGTGGAAAAATATTTCATTTCCTATCAAGATTTCATGTTTACACTACTGCACAAAACCTACCCACTTGAATTTGTTTATAAATTTAGTCGGACTAAAAACTACTAGAGCTGAATATTTAACTAGAAGTGTCATAATCATTTCTAGCTGTAATCGCACTGCAAAAATATAATATTAACCTAGATTTTTAGGCCGAAACAATGTGACAAAGGTGCCTACTGTTGATTAGTGGAATTAGGTGGGTGGGATCATTATGCAGAGTTGAATCTATAGACACCCTAATTGTAGCTGGAATGGCAATCTGAGGGAGTTTTTTAATGTGTGGATTATCTTTACGTGAACGTCGATTGGAGATGGTCCAGGGTAATTAGTTTATTACCTTTTTGGATGAACTCGAGACTCTGACTTGACCATGTAGATATATAAAATGGATCATGTTATATGTACATTTTGTTTGACATCTTTTTTTATATTGTGCCACATGTCGTTTCATGAGTGGACAGTTTTTAAATACAACACACTTTCCTGCCAATTGTAATTTGAAAATGAATGGAGTGTCAACAATCATGTCAACCAAATAATGTACAAATGACTTAATCCGTATAAAATGGTTCATACAAAGCGTGCAGAAGATTAGAATGAAGGTGTTGAATCTAATTAGTTACAATATCAGGAGATCTCTTGATGGGAAATTCTCGAAGGTGTTGATGATATACTTTGATTCTTATTGAAAATAGATGGAGAGAAAAGGTCATCATGTAAGGACAGTGATGACCATGTATTGGTTATATGATGTATTTTGTTTGAAAGAGATTGTTGGAGATGTCTAAATAAAAAATCTATATTAACTAAATATGAATATGAGTTAAGGTTTATAATATATTTCATACAATGAAGTGTACAAGACGAGGCACATAACGATTATGTATTTCATGTCTTTTATTTGATCATATCTACTATATCAAATATGTTATAGATGTTAATAAACGTCACCCGCACAACCTAGGACATTAGAAAATAACGTGTCATTTTGCAATTGGTATGTTGGAACGGTGGCGACGTGTGATTGTTAGATTGGTGAGTTGGAGAGGTATCACTTGGAACTACACTGAGTCAAAAACAAAGTTAGTCTTCTATTAGAGGATCCCCTTCGAATTGGGAATAGAAATTTGAGTGACGAGCTTCAAGTTTTAAGGCATTCTCCTACAGCTGTTTACGTTAAAACACATGACATGTTCTTTTGTTTTTTTTGCGCGGTCCCATGCCTGATTCGTCTATTTCATTTTCGTGTGAGCCCCCCAACACGATTCGAAGCCTAATCAATCATAATGTTCATGCCAAAATTGATTACTTAGGACTGATAGTGATGCGTAGAATTTTGATTATTATTTTTTAATTCTAATATTTTTTTCTCATAAAGCTCCCTTTTTGTTGTTATTTCATATTTGTGTTATTAAGTCATGTTATAAATGGGGGGCGAATTTATTATTATTATTATTATTATTATTATTATTATTATTATTATTATTTTGAGAATTTATTAGCTCTCTGACTCTTATTGTGTGGTTACAAGAAAAATCGTGGGAAAAAATTCTATATTTCCGAAATGGAAAAAAAGAGAAATGAGTGTGAAAAGATCCCTAATTCCCACGGCATTTCCACGTGCTTTTGTGTACAAAGAGCGTGTGCTTTCATGGCAAGCCCAACTTAGGATCCTCTTCTCCATCGGGGAATTGATGAGAGATGCGAACAAAGGTTGCGCAAGCACGAGTATCAAAACTTCAATACCAGCTTAGCTTTTGATCTACAATAGAAAATTGATGATTTTATCCTCTTCGTACTTTGTTTTGTACCATTGCCTGCTTTGTTCTCATTTTTCGATAGTTAAAAACACTTTTTCATGCTCTAATGACCCTTTAGGATCAATTTGACAGGACTTTTAAAAAGTTAAAAAAAATTGAGGTTAAGAAGATACTTTTAGAGGAAGTTGGTCTAATGTGAAAACTTTTCTATAAAAAATAGAAACAAATCGAAGCCTTTCCGAAGAGACCCTTAGGACTCTTCCATTGATAGTTGTACTTATGTCATAAGATTTTTTACGTGAAGACTCTAAAATAGAAGATTGGACAAATGAGCAACTAGTCTCGATAAAAAAGATCAAGATGGAGTTTGGGTTTATTGAACTTGAGATATTCATTGAACGTAGTTGAACTTGATTGAGATGTGTCAGCTACAATCTTTTTTGGTAATGATTTTTTTTTTTTACTTTATTATTATTATTATTATTTTTTTACTTCACTTAATTTGTATCGAATTTAAATAGAAAATTATAAAGAAATATTTAGTCAAAGGTAAACATTAAAACCCAACCAGATTTTTGAAGACCTAACTTCAAAAATTAGATAAAAAATTTATTCATACAAAAATTAAATATTAATTCAAGTATTATAGATCAATATTTTAATATTAATAACAACATTATAAATTAATTTACATACACACACTTTTCCCAGTACACCCCCATTGAAATCCGAAATTATTCTCTCTCTCTCTCTCTCTCTCCTTCAAAGGATGCTGTCGTTGAAGAGCTACCGTTACCAGAGACCACCTTTGAGCGTCCTTGTGCCACCTTATCATTCCTATCGCTGTTGCGATTCGGTAGGGGGCTCAATGGTGTGGCGTTGATGGAGACCTTGGCTGCTGGTATTGTTGGTGTGGCGATGAGGGATTACGGTGGTAATGGTGGTGCTACAAGTGGTTAGTGCGGTGGTGGTGGATTTGGTGGTGGATATAGCATTTAGTTAGCGTCTATCATCAGTGCACGTTACGTTTCGGCTCCCCTAGAGTGAATCAGGATGGGTTGTATTAGGTGGTACGTTGCGATGACGGTGGCGGATCTAACGGTGGCGATGAGGCTTTGGTTTTGGTTGTTGGAGTGTTGGTTGTGATTTCCATATTTTGTTGTTATTTGGGGGTTCGGTTTCGTTGGTGGTGCTGGTGGAGGTGTTGGCCATGGTAGTAGATTTGAAAGATGGCGGTGATGATGGCAGTGACGAGGATAGTGGTGGTGGTGCGGAGACGGATTGGGGTGGTGGTTTTTATGACCAATTATTTGAGATTGTAATCATTAAATAATATGTGATCGATAATTTGTGACCAATAAATAATGTAATCTAAAAATTGAGTTGTGATTTATGATTGATGAATAAATTTTGACCCACAATTTTTGATTTGTGATCATGAAAGAATTAGTATCTTATAAAAAATTTTATTCGTGATCAAAAAATAATTTGTAATATAAAAATTGTGATCTTAATATATATATATATATATATTTAATTAATTATTCCATAATTAAAATTCAATTAAGTTTTGAATCTTGTTTTTTGGTTTTGAATGGACAGTACTTAACTTTTTATATATGAAATTTTGCTTACCCGAAGTAGTAAAAGAAACCTTAATGCCACTTCGACATCATCTGCGCCGAACTTAGATCCCTAATTTGGGTCAGTGGCATCATTTCGGCCCACGTATCACGTGGATGGGCCCATTCATACAAAGCAAAGGCTGCTTATTAAAATCTCCCCTAATCTCCTCCCCACCAATCACATGACTCCTCCCACGTGGGACTTCAACCCCAATGCACCTGAATATTCATTATTATATTAATTATTTTACTATAAACATACCTGTCTATATAATATAAAATTATATTCTATATATCATTCTTCTTCGACTTTCTAACCCTAAAGTAAACCTCTCTCTCTCTCTCTCTCTCTCTCTCTCTCAATTCTTCTGACCCTTTCCATTTCCTTCTCTCTCTCTTTTTTCTTTTAAGGTTTTTTGATCACAAGGAAGTTGTGTCTCTAGTTATTACAGCAAGAAATCATGGGCGATTCTTCTGCTCAGTACATCCATACGGTAACTCTCTCTCTCTCGATTATTTTTTAAATTAGCGTGTTGTGTTAATTATATTGAGGTTTGATGTTGTGATGATGAAAGGTACAACATCTTATTGAAGAGTGCATAATATTTGATATGAGCAAAGAAGAATGCATGGAAGCTCTCTCCAAACATGCAAATATCAAACCGGTCATCACTTCTACAGGTCACTCGTCCTTACAGATTTTTCTATGATTTTTATTTTATTTTATTAAAAGGCAATTAAAATACGTCTCTTAAGCAGTGTGGAAGGAGTTAGAGAAAGAGAACAAAGGCTTCTTTGATGCCTACACAAAGAGGAGAGAGGAGAGAGAATCCGAAATGGAGACAAGGCAAAGAATCCACAAGATGCAATTGGAATCTTCAACACAGGATACCAACAAATGAAGCAAACGACGTCGGATTATTGGCGCTGTCTTTGAATTATATTCTGCATATCGTCCTTGTTTCTCATGTACTGTAATAAAACCCGAACTCTTTATGTACTAAACCAACCCAAGTTTTTTTTGCTTGGGATACTGTGCCTTGATGACTAATATGCATCGTTTCTTGACACGTGTCGAGAGCCCACATAGTTGTCATGTCTTGCTCTTTCCATTACGTTATGTTTTTCGGCGGTTTTTGGAGGATTGATGATATTTGTGTTCTTAAATGAAGTGTTGAAAGGGACCATATGAAAAGGGGGAGAAAATCTTCAATAGGCGGGTCGCACCACCCTATAAGAAAGGGCCAGTTTGGAGGGTGGCCCACCATGCACCTCTGAGGTGTTTGGCCCACCCACAAGGTGGCATCTCAACATTGGACGGTTGTACCATGTGGACGGTGTAATCGACCTATTGAAAATTTTCTCGTGAAGGGGAGTTTGTTTTGTGCAGTATTGGTACGTGTATTGTAGTGGGCCTTCTTTTGTAAAGAATAATGAGATTAGGGGTAGGCCTGAGCAAAAATTACTTATCGTGAAACCAAATGGAAATTGTGGTTTTGAAAACCAACTTGCATCTACGGACTACATGAATCAATCAATATTTCGGTTCAAAGTTGTGAACCAAATCGTTTAGAATTGTTTTATTTAGGTTTTGATCATAAAACTAAAAGAAAACATAGAATTTATTAGTTAGCTTTAAACTTCAACGAATTACTTATGCTAGCTGGCTTCTATTGACTATTTAAGAAAACAATTATTTCATGATTCTATTTTCTTATCCATTTCAGAAGTAATGAATGTAGAAGTTTTAATTTTTATGGTTGAACTTTGTTGCTTGAACAAAGACAAATATATTATTAATTGTAACATTTATGTTTATAAAGTTTGAACTTAAGTGTTATAATAAGATTTTAGACCATAAAATCGGGGTTTAAAAATGGTTTAGCTTGAAAATAGTCAAATCGAACATCATCAATTAATCAGAGAATGACACTCAATGCATGTTGGCTAAGCTTAACATGACTATTAATAAATATACACATAAACAAATTAATCTAAGCCCCCTGTTTGACATTCATTATTTGGAAAATTAAGGGCCTGTTTGATTTGTTCATAGTTTTTCCTTGTTTGGCAATTGCTTTTCCCTCCCTCCCAAGGGACTTGTTTTTCCTTGAAATCATGGAATTTGAATTCCCATGGTTTTGGTGGGAATTGGTTTTTCAGGTTCCTTTTTTTTTTTTCTTTTTTTTTTGTGTGTGCAATGGAAACAAATATTATTTACAAATGTAACCAATTTTATCCCTTTAATTGACAATTTTCATAAAAAAAAACGAAGCTAAAAGAACACCAAAAGATCCAAAATTTCAACATTTTCTAGGTAAAAAATTATACCAATCAAACACATTTAATTGACAATTTTCAGTAAAATAAATTCTAGGTAATTCAATTCTCTGGAATTCGTTTTCTTTCCACCCAAATTTCATTCTTGCAATCAAACGGACCTTAAAGAGTTTTCAATAGTATTTATTGGAGAATATGTGGTTAAAAAGTAAAAAAAAATTTATTGATTTGTGTATAGAATATTGTATTGTGTGAATGTGTGGTAGAAAATCATACTGTAGTAAACATTTTAAAATTTTAAAGGTTGTCAAACAAACACTAAAACTTGTTGACCTCACGAATTGGACCTTTCACATGGCCAATCAAGATTCACTCCACGTATTCCTCCCTGTATACAATAGCAAACAATTAAACGTACACTCCGACGGTCAAGTCAGTGAACTGTGATCGAAACGATGCCGAAATTAGGCAAAAGAGTAGGGAGGAGAATGTATTTTACTTGAGTTGGAGTGCCTAGTATAATAGAAAGATTAATTCATTATCTGTCTCTTGCCAAACCTTGGTTTTTATAGGCGAGGGGTGCCGCTGGATGAGAGACACGTGTATATATCTAACGGTGTGAAGTGTTTGCTCGTATGCGTCAATCAGTCGCATCCTAGATGGGGCGGGTAATTAATTGTTCTGAGTTGTGAGTTGACTAAAGGTTAAGACGTCACATCAATCAATCTATGGAGATAAAGAGGATCATGACACAAAGATATATCTTTGAAACTGGCGGCGGAAGGGCCTCTGCATTTCTCTAGAGGCACAAACTTCAGCGTCAGATGACGCCTCGGCAGATATTATTTTGGTGATGCTTGTGCCTCCCAACACGTTAACTTGAGGTTCAAATGAGGCTCATATCACTTCGGAATCATCTCAGTTGGACACATGGCACCTCGCTGAGAAATAGACATGACGCGCCGAGATGGGTTAGTGAGGGGCGTAACAAAACTAATACTTTTTGGTGGTAACTTTGAATATTTAAGTTGTTTTCATTGCTCGACCTTCAGAATAAGTAACGTATAATTCGAAAGTGACAGAAAAGTAACAGGCAGGCAACATGTCTTCACAGCAAGGGAGAATGCTTTGCCCATCTCGTAGCAAAGATCTTAACAATTACATACTCTGCAAAACCAATCTCGATCTCTGTCTACTAACACAGTTCAATTTGGGTCTTTAAAAACACTGAAAACACCAACAAAGTGTAAAAACACTTTAAAAACATGAACAGAACAGTTTGAAAACATCATCGGAACAGTTCAAAAACATAGGAAACAATTCAAAAATAAAATTATTCTGTTAATTCAAAATTATTATTGAATCTTCAGTTTGTAGTACTAAAAGTATGTTTTCATAAATATGCACTATAAGTATAAAAGACCAAATTAATTTTATATTAACATATGTAAATTATGTTTTTTTTATATTACTATATATATATATATTTTTTTAAATTTCCGTATACTGTTTTTCTCATGTACACACGTTAATGACATATTTTAATGAAGAGGATTCGATAGCACTCTATTGTATTCTCGAAACGAAAGAAGTAAAAGATGTTATTGTAACCCGAAAGGTATATAGGAATGGACAAATATGAATAAAGAACAATTAAAGGTATTTTGCTAAAGAGATTAATTTGTGTAACTTCAACGTGTCTAAATTGGTAGACATTGATGGCACAAAAATGACGTTAGAATGGACAAGAGTTAACAATTCAATAAATAAAGATATTTTTGCTAGTTAAAGAGATATGTTGCGCAATTTTAACGTGTCTATTTTGCTTGACAAGGTAGAAAATGACTTTATAAAATCAATATTAGAAAGTTAATAAATTCAATTTGTCACCGAACTTGAGCTGTTTATTAATCTTATTTTGTTGGCTATTTATTAATCTTAATGAAAATTAGCAACGTATATAAATGAAATAATTGACTTGATACAAATAAAAAGTATTATATTTCACCCCTATGAAAGAATAGGCTAATAAGCTCTCTGTCATGGGTGCGACGAGAGTGTATCGTATTGTGTGGAGGAAGACAAGAAAGTTTCATTCCATAATTCAAACATTTGTTGTACAATTTATGACCCCTTGAGTCGCTTCGTACCCAAATGATATTGACCCCTCTACGAGGTTTGATTTTTAAGTGTACAATTACCTTACTCTTCAAAAAGACTACTTACTACTTATGTCCAAGTCCAGTAATCTTTCTATCGCCCTATTCCTGCTCCCCTAAATGCGACACAATAACCCAGATTTGAGTTAAGAAAATGAATGTCATCAGTTCTGATTTTTATGATGATGAGAAAAAGTTTCAATTGTTAAAAAAATAAATTCTTGCAGTCATCGGTTTTAATTTTGATGATAATGACGACATGAAGGAGAAGTCCGCTACTCCTCAAGATTAATCAGGTATAGATTGGACACCTGAGTTATCAAAAAATAAAAAAAAAAAGCGCCTACAATGAAGACACCTTTCCTATCTTCATCTAAATTAGTCTCTCCCCCTCCATTCTGATTAAAACCATAGAACCTATTGTTCCCCGGGGCACTTCTCCACTGGCAAAGGACGGTTTCTCTCAAAGTTGGCAGATCAGAGGTCGTGGGTTCGATTCTTGAGACTCTTGGAAGGCAAGGCACATACTGGAAGGCGGGAGTGTCTTGGAAGGCAAGGCGCAATATGGGTTGGCTCACTAGGCACTTTGACAGTCCAGTTGGAGAGGTGCTCGGATCCTGGTCAGTTGGAGGCACATCTCGCGGTTTAACTGATCTGTGTGAAGAGGGGCCGGATCACAGACCCAAGGAATAGTCGCAGAAGGCGGACACCTTGATAAAAAAAAAAAAAAAAAAAAAAAAAGGGAAATATCCATAGAACCTATAAAACTGCTCCTGAATTTAATGCAATTTGCAGTCTAGAAAATTCTCATAACCATAATGTCATTTACAACATTACTTTCCAATCCCATTTGACATCGAACCCCCAAGAAGTTCATTTCTGCGCCGATGAACTGTGAAGCCCAAGAAAAGCCTCTTCAAGTTTTATTTCCACGCCAAAAATCCATCCGTAATCTAACTATTTGACCATTCCCACCTTAAACTAATGTTCATGGAAAACTCATCTGAGATTGTCATCATTCCTTCCCAGAATCCTACTCCATAAGGTAGAGTAGGCTTCCCACGCAGTTTATGGAGAACTCCAAAATCACTTAACAAGCATAACCCTCTTCAAAATCATGATATTTCTAATCCCCAGTGCTCTTTTCCCACCCATATTCATGAATCGAGGAACTGAAAACATTGTGAATTGGGCAGCGTCAAGCCTATCTCACTAAAGAAACTCTATACTTTGAGGAATGGATTCAAAATATAACAATAATTAAAAGGAACTTGTGAAAAATGAGTCATATTCTATATTAACTTGTGAAAATAAAAGCATAAAATAACAAAGTTTTCAAATCCAGAACTAGCTTTCATGTAGTGCATTTTACCATTTTAATCTAATGGGATAGTGAGATTTCAGTTTATAAAAGATGACGAGTTGAAGAAATCGTGTCAAGATGACCAAAACAGATAGCAAACCTTAGAAACCTAACCGGCTAGCCTTACTTCAAAGATAACCTGGAGGTGAGAGCCATAACATGTTGGGTTGTGTGCCCATATAGTTTAATTTTGCTGATGTAAAAATAAAAATAATAATTTTTTAACATTGAATAAAATTATGTTTACTCTATTTATTGCATTTATTTATTGAGCATGAGAAATTAAA